TTAAAGTCAATTCGCCGCATCTTTCAATCATCTCATCTGCATTTTTTACTCACTGGTACACGAGATGTGTTCCTAAAATAAAACAAAAATTACCTACTGCTGTTCTATTTTTATCTTGTCACAGAACTTGCTTTATTATCACCTCGACTTTTTTCACCTACACAGTTCTTCTATGGAAGTTTTACAATTATTATTTATTTATATTAATCCATTTTTTCCCTTCTATCCCTAGTTAACATTCTATTTATCGCTTCATTTCTATCGCAGGAATTTTAAGCAAGAAATCGGAATCTAATGCACTAGAAATGTTTCCTAGATGGTTCATAAAATATATGCTATTACAACCAGACAGAGTAGGTCATTCTCTATTTTTACGGGTCTTCCTGAAAAAAGGCACCACTTATACAGAGGCCTGAGTATTCTCTTCTTACAAACAAACATTGACATCTGAGGCTATCTAGTCCTTTAGGATAAATAGGGCTAAACTAATAGCCTACAAAGCAATTCATGACTATTCTATTATTTTGATAATCATTTTGCGTGTCTGTAGAAAGATTAATAGGAATTTAAAGAAAATGACAGCTCATCTAGTCTGTAAGAATACCCATTTTATTCTTGAATAAGAATAAAGTGGCATTACTTAGACTAACTTTCATTTGATTCTCTACGGAAGTAAATAAAATACAGGTAAATACACCTTACTCGTTTATTCCTTAATATGATCTGTTGATATTTTAAATGTTTGTCCTCGAATCTATCTATTGAAGTTACAACAAATCTGTCACTTTAGCATAAGGCTAAAATTCTGTATCATTTAATTACTATTTTGCTAAATTCAAAAAACAATACATGGGATATTATATATCAATTATGACTTATCCGTAGTCGACCAACTAGCTTTCATGGTTGACCTGTTTGCAAATTAGCTTTGAAATTGAATACTTTTTTGAAATTTGAATTTGCCGTCTATTTTCTTTGGGATGGAGGTAAAATATTATAACCAATTTAGTTACCTGTTTTAGCTTTGGTATAAAAAAAATACAATTTTTAAAAATCGCATTGCATATTTTAGGAATACCATATATATACCGTAAAGAAAAATTGTATTTTGATTATAGTTGTACACCAATTGTCCTTATTAATTGATTCGCTTGGATATGCGACAGCATTCTGCCAACTTATCACTTTGAAGATTCGCTCTTAAGATGTAACATATTTTTTTAGGTTTCTGTACAATAGAAAGTTAAAAACTATAAAATTTTTTCTCCTTATCTTTTATCGTGACTTTACTATTGCTTTTTCGATGCTCTTGAAAGAGGATAAAGAGTTTTGAGTATTCTTATCTCAGCCATACAATTTTTTCAAAATTGATCCCTGTTAGCACTCTGCATATTTTCTCAACTAAAATATCGTATCAAATAATTCAACACCCTTCACCAAACCGATGGCGTGGAATTCGAAGGGGTTTATTAATATATTTCATAGGTATCTTGATGTTTGCTGATTTATGTATCGTAACCGTATTCTGCTACACTTCCTTTTTTTACGGAAATGTATTGTTTTTAAAATTACCTGCTGAGTGAGCCACTCAAATATATAATTTTATTATACTTTACCAGGTAACTTGTTTTTCAAATAGCTACATCTGCTCTCTCCTGGCTCGAGTGTTGCTTTTTATCAGAAGATCTTTCTTCGCATTTTTAAAATAAGGTTTTATAGAATTTCATGGTCATCTTTGTGAATTTTACCCTCATGCATATTCGATAAGACATTTGCCACTCATTTTCAATCATTTTTAAAACAAGTGTCCATATACTTATTTCTAGCTGTTATTTTTCTATATTTGATCAGCAAAATTGATATTTAATAAATTTCATATATGATCTAACTGGTAGATCCTTATTCCCATCATCGTGATTCATAAATAATCATGTTAGTATTTATGTATTTAACTAGGTTTAGCTTTTCTTTAGTTTTCACCTTTCCGTGCTTCTATAATTACTTGGACTATTAATACCCGTGTTAAGCTTTGATAAGTTATAGATCAGAATTGTTGGGCGATGTATAGGAACTAGGGGTATATTAGGTCTTGTTAGATGATCAGAGAACCGATAGTTAAGTTCTTAACTATGAAGTTAGTATATAGCCTGATGATGCTATTAAATTACCTTTAGCCTTGTCTGCCAAAAGGTTTTACACAGTGGGATGCAATTTCGACCCCCCTAGCTTTACCAATATTCTCTAGTATGTATGAGACCTTGTTATGCACTTCAAGTGTCGGTGAAAAAGCAATTATTTTATTTGACCAATTTTAGATTAACTATCAGGCTTTGGAACAGTATAGCCACCTAAAGCTTTTTAACTCTATTCTAAAACCTCTCTGTCTAAATTGTTAGTACCATCTAACAAGCACACCTGAACTGAGGATACGTTTATACTTTTGACTTTTTTACATCAGCGGGTTCCAACGATGCCAAATGGTCTTCTCAGATACGACAACAGTCTAGACAGTCGGCGGCAACTGGAGCAGTTGTCTTCTGGTCTCCACCAGGGAAGAACAACAAGGACGAGCTTTTCGCGTTCCCTTACTTCGCCTCATTTCCCAAGCTATGCGATCGGCGGTCTTGAAGCTGCCAACCAATTGAGTATAATTTCTGAAGGTCTCAGGTTGCGGGAACCATCTGCCTACAAGGCGCGCAAACAGTTGGTTGCAGATGCTGATGAGCGAGTCGATGAAGTAGACGAAGAAGAAGAAGAAGTGGCTGACAGGTTTAGAGAGTCATGGGCAACCTAAATCAATTAAAACTTTAGTTGAGATGCACTCCCAATTCGTTGTCTTCCACATTTCCGTGTTATCTCGGCTCATAGAAAAACAACTTTCGACATCATTATTCATCTTTTTAATATATTTTATTCATTTTATTAGCAAAGGATCGAATAGGCCTTCGTTAGCTAAATTAATTGTTCTTTATCTTATCAGCAATTCGTTTAGGCATACACGTGTGCATAACCTTCACTTTTTCTACTCTAACACAATTTTTCTTTGGTCTTCTTCCATACGATCATACCTCAATGCATTAGCATTTTTTCACTCTTCCTAATTATATTTCTCTAAGTAATTATTATCACCTTCTCCCCCAAAATAATCTTGATCGTATACTCTCCGGGCACCTTTATTTTATTTCAATAAAAATCCTAACACAAAACTACCTATCATCTCTCGATCATCATTTGATCTAGCTCCTTGCTGCTTAAACGAGAAGAACGTATATATCTTCTTTGCTTGAAATTTCTTTGTTCTTTCGGCCAATTTTACCGTATATACAGCACAAACATTTTCCTCATGACATTCGGATTGATCTATCCAAAATGTTCACATCACTTTAATATCTTTGAGGACTCCACGATAACTATGGTTTGCAATAATCGATCACTTTTGTTGAAGCGCAGGAGCACTAAATATAAAACTTTAGTGTTCATTTTAAAAATTACATTGCATATTTTACGCTTCCATTTTATTTGGTTAATCCTCAATGAGCAAATTGAGTGTTTATTCACCTTAATTGTATCGTCATCGCTACCTCGTCGAGGATTACATGGAGCCGCTGATACTTAAAGGAATGAGCAAAAGCTTTATTACATTTTTAAATTATCATTCAAAATCTCTGTTTGATGCATACACTTTATCCTATCCAAATAGTTATGACATTGTAATGCAAGGAAACGCTTACGCATTTGCAAAGTCATTTATTAACTTTTTTCACGACAAGTTTTAGCCAATTTAATTTTTACTTCTTACCAGATCAAGATGCGAAATATTTTAACAGCAATTTCTATCCAGCTTGCTGAAGACGTTAACTACTCCATTTATAATTAAGTTCTAACGCTATTTGTAATTTCTACATATAATTTGCCTTTGATTCCCTGACACTTGATTTCTGCCAAAATCTTGATATAATTGTGCTTAAAATTGTGTAAATTCTCGATATTCTTTCCTTATAACTATGTGGGGCATATAGATAGGAAACTTCTATAAACTGATCTGAGGCAATATACTTCCGTATCTATCATATTCCGTCCTCAGTGCCTTGCTCTGCAACAGTTAAGTAATCAAGCTTGCCAAACAAAACTTGTCTTTTATGCATGATCTTTCTTTAAGAATAAGAAAAGTTTTCCAGTGAATGCCAACCATGGACTGAATTATATTAATTTTCCCTAATCTCAGAATTCGTATTTTCCTCTTTTATTTTTCTATATTTGAAATATAATTTTGTGTTGTTTCTTATTTTCTTGCTTCTTTATCGTTCCTATTTCAATATGACTTATGGGAAAATTCGTTTTGGGATAAATTCTCTCGGCTAAAGTTTGCCAATTTCTAAGCCCATATATAAGTATAATAGTATATATATATACCACCTAAAGCGGCCATTACATTCGGTCAAAGCTTCCACAATGCTCAGTTTTGGTAAATCTGCATTTCCTTGGTCTGGAAAATGTTGAAATAAAATCTTCTAAAGAAAAGATATTTACAGATTTATATTTTCGTCATTTATTTTCTTTTGAAAATTAGATTATGTGCATACACGTATGTGTGGATTCATTAATATGACTTAGTTTATAATCTCACAATCTTGAGTATATTAATTGAAAGACTCTAAAAACTTCAGATTCCATCATCTTTTTAAGTATTATTGTATAACTATGCAAAGGGAGATAATAATATGTTTTTATAGGCTTCTCTAAAACTTTTTGTACTATACGAAAGTAAGTCGATTTATATAAATCTTTTGGTTAAAATCATGTTGTTGAAAAAAAATTAGGTTTAGAAAAATATCTGAGTGATACATTACGTATATAAGTAGGGTTTCGAGACTACCAGCAGATCAGTAATATGAGATGTATTCATCCTATTTAGTTTAAGTTGATAAAAACTGGGAGTAGAATTTTCCTGCAAAGGTATCAGTAGACCTGACGTACCCATTGAATTTCACATGGTCTTGCTTTGTCAAAAGTTGTTCTCATCCAGGCACCAGTGGACTTCAGTTTCGACCTCGCGTCGGTCTTATCAGCCCCCCTAGAGGGAGTCGAACCGTGACTGCAGCATATGAGCTTGAAATGTTAACCACTCGGCTCTTGGGTCACAGGGCAGATTGGAATTTCAAAAAAGGCCAGGCCTTTTTCTCATATCACCTTTGGTGGGATTGCCGATGAAGCAAACGTATTTTTGCTATAGCAATGCGAAGTCTAAACTGTAGTACATTCTGGATGTGGACGACTTTTGGGAAAGCAAGGCTATGCGAAATTCATTGGAAACGTCGGCTCTACTCATCATTTGGGAAAATTGTATTACCAGTCCCTCATCATCTTAAACAAAATAGGGTGAATACTTTTCATATAACTGATTTACTGGTAGTCTCGAAACTCTACTTACATACGAAAAATAATAATGTAGTCGATTGTTATAACTAAAATACGTTTGAGCTATCGATAACCACACCAAAGAATGTGATATGGAAAAATGATCTGGCCTTCCTTGCAATTCACATTTACACTGTGACCTAAGAGCAGTTGTGGCAATGTGACCGAGTGGTTAACGTATCAGGCTCACATACTGCACTGTCACGGTTCGACTCCCGTTGGGCGTGTTGATAAGACCTTTGCGAGGTTGAAACTGCAGTGCACCCTGGATGAGAACAACTTTGGGGAAAACAAGGCTCTGTGAAATTCAATGGGTACGTCAGGTCTACTCATATCATTGTGGGAAAATTTTACTACCAGTCCTTCATCAACTTAAATGAACCAAGGTGAATACTTTTATATAAATGATATATTGTGATATGACCTTCCATTTAGAAGGAAAAGTTGGTTGGAAGGAAGGTTGCAGCCAGTTACCCTTTTTTCGATTGCTTTATCCATGGCACTATTGCATAAAGTGTGGATTTTTGCTTTGATGATGTGTCACAGTACAGACGAAAGCTTATCACAGATTTATCTGGGTCGCCGAGTACTTTGTGGCACAATCCAACTGTTCTTACTTTTCAGCAATCTTCCTTCCATTTCCGATGAGATCTTTTTACGAATTACTTACAACCAATTTTCCCTTCGCAATGGAAAGTCATTTTACAATTTAAATAGTT